TACCAACAAAATGTTGTACATTGATATTCGGTATATCGTTATTTTCGATACGATACTGCAGAACATGTTATTCTACCATCATCTTATATTATTAAGCTAAAGTTTAAGAAAAATATTAATTTTTCCCACCAATGAATAATGTAATATATAAATTTATATTATTTGAATGTGTCTATATATTTGAGATTGAGAAAATATAAGAAAACTCACACGTAATAACATAAAAGTATTAGAAGAAAAATATTATAATAAAGTTACAGAATAGAAAGGAATTTTTTTTTAAAGTTACAGAATATATTGGAAACTTTAATGTTACACTTGATTATTAGCGCTGCGTAATTGTTAATCGTGGATTTACACATAATTACACACCTTTCGATTAATATATATGTATGCTTAGCGAGTACTTATTTAACCTCATCTAAAGTTAACAAATACCTCGTGTAACATATAACATCACAAATATATTGAACCAGTCACATATCTAATGAGGTTTAAATATTTAATTAATTATTAAACTTCATATTAATACATCATACAAGGCCAAAACATGTTCTTCTTTTTTTTATAAATAATTTTTCATATTGACACAATTTAGCCTTATGTTTTTACAAGATATTTCTAGAAAATACACAAGATAATATTAAAATAAACCTTAAAACAAACAAGAAATTAAACTTTTTTTTATAGCACTACAACTACAAAATCAAGATATATACATACAAAAGACATACACACTTATCTCTGCTACAATTATACATCGTACGTGTTTCAGTATTCATACACATACATACAGCCTACTGCCTAAACCCAGTCAACAAAGAAAAAAAGAAATACATACAAAATTGATGGGGGGGAATTAAACTTTCATCGGCGCGTGGACTTCTTACCGCGTTTCTCGATTACAGGTCCGGTAACACTGTAAACATCGCCGATCAATCGGAACCGCCTCTTTCTTCGTCGTCGGAGCGTCTCGACTTCTTTAATACTATTATTATTTTTCTGGAGGTCGGAGGATATTTCGTGAGAATCGCCGACGCTCTCTTCCGGGCTTTGCTCCACCGTCTTCGCCGCTCCTCCTCCGCCGGACTCAGCCGAGTCGCCGCTGAGCTGGATTAACTGCAGGGCAGCGTCCATTTCCGGGCCCGTCGGCTGGGATTCCATCTGGGTTTTCCTGCTCTTTCGTGCTGGTTCAGATTTCTTCATTCAAAAAAATAAAATAATAAAAAAAGAAAGAGAAGTTAATTTAAAAGGGTTTTTGTGTGACTACAGATTTTTTTGTAGGGACAAAACGGTCATTTCGCAGCTCAAACGAATCACATTTAAATTTGGAATCACCGCCTTAAACTCTACGGCAAGCAAGTGCGGTGTGGGCCCTCCCCTCCCGGTGTGTGTATGCTAAAGGATTGTGCTATTGCCAGGACAACTTTCTCTAATGCCAGAGCATACATATATGAAAGACTGAAGAGCCCCTGATTGTTCTGGTCCTTTCCTAAAACAACCTAGATCTCCCCGCCGCCGCCATTCAATCTTTGTATTCCCGCTACTTTGATCCCAATCTTTTTTAAATATGAAAACTATCAATTTCTTATTGTTAGGATTTAGTTCAATTATCCACTCAATTAATTGGGTTTCAATTAATTCTTTCTACTTCCTTATTATATTACTTGTCCCTTTGCTAAACATATGTGATGGGATCAGCTCGGCATTGGATCATACCTTACCTTTTTGGGCTTTTAGAGTTAAATTATAATGGATTGCAAGAAGTAAATTGGATCAACAACTCGTCTTATGCTTGTAATACGTGTGACGATGAGAGCAGTAGGTGGCGAACTGGTCTCATGACCGTTGTAGGATGTGATCAGGAGATAACTCTCATAAATTGACAAATAAATATTGTAGAAGATCCCCACAAGTGGATCTTTTCTCTGGCGAGCGATGTCAGATATTATCCTAACGATTGGATCTTTTTCGTCAGAAAGTTGTAACTTCACTTTTTTTGCCATATTGTGCGAATCTCTTTGTCATGTGGTGCAACGATGCAAGGGTGTTTCAAAAACTTGGGCGGAACAAATTAAACGTGCATTTTGCCAATGGAGGGTGAAGTTTCCTCCTTCTATGACTGGTTTAAGTTCATCAAGAGCAGATTATGATACGAGTTTTTTCTCCTATCGGTCCTTATTACGTGAAAGTTGAGGGGCATCTAAAATTCAGAAGTTCATGGTGATCAGTCTAGGATGAAGATCGATGATGTGGTTAGTTGGGGGATTTCATACCTTGAATCGTATAGATGTGTGCTCACCTCAAGCAGTCTCTACCCCCAACAAACTAAATTCCAGACTTCGTGGCCGCCTCCGAAAGATGGTGTTATAAAGATCAATTATGATGCGGCTTTCTCTCCGAACAAGGAGTATCTTTTAACATCACCGGTACTAAGAAATTGGAGAGACGAGTGTGTCTGGTGGAGTGTTAAGAGGCTCCCGAGACATCCAAAGCATGTGGAAGGCAAAGCTTTTGGGCTAGGCACTTAGCAACCGCAAAAGGGTGGAGTTCGATCGTTCTCAAAGGGGATTATTTATGAGTCGTGAAAACTCTACAAAGTGGCAAACCCAACTCATTGTTTGGAGCGTACATTGAGGATTGTTTAAGTTAAGCTTCCTCTTTTCGTTTATTAAGCGACAGTGTAATTGCTTTGCTCACGATTATGTAATTAAGAGCTAATAAGCCCTTCAACTTTCTATTAATGATATCTAATTGTGGCTCCTCTTCTCATATAATTAATTACTCGTAATTATTATGTAACAATATTGATACTTCTTTGCCTAGGGCTTCTTTATATGATTGAAATTTGAACCCATCTCGAGCTTATCGGGCCGCCCGAATAGAAATGGACCCAAAAAATCTAATTAGCCCATATGCAAAACTAAATGTTTGATATTAGTTTTAGTTACAAATGATGTCATTAACATATATTATCCACTAATTGCATGATTAAATGTTATGATACCATTGAATGTGAGAGTAAATGTTAACATTATTTATTGTTGCATATATAGTACATAATATAAGCCATGAAGATACTAGGGTAACTCAAAATAGTTAATAACTTAATAGTAATTTTAATAACTAGTAGTAATAATAGAACTAAAAAGATTAGTCTACATTTCTTCTTCTTAGCTCAAATGTTCTATATTAATTTCACGATAAATTATAATTAACAGCAATTCAATCATTCGATAAGAAGAACATAACGAGTAAAGTGATATATTACAAATTTAGCGTACATGAGAATAATTAAAGCGATACAGTTACGAGTATAACAAAGATAAGGTAAAGCGAACGATGATAAAAGAGAATATACAACAAAGTACGTTCGACAGATGTGATTCTATTAATATGAGTAAATATATTTTTATCTGATGAACTTCACCGAGTTATAGTATAGTATAGGCCGTGTAGTAAATAATAACGTTTTCGAAATTCGATCAACTTGGTAATTCATGTATCATGCATGCTTCTTAATGCGTTAATTCATTAATTACGAATAGTTAATTAAGTACTCGCGCAAAATATACACTAATACAAAGTTTTTTTTGTTTGATAATTAAGAAACAAAGACGACGACAATACAAAAATACATTAACAAACATACGACGAAAAGAAAAGAAAAGGAAAAATAATAAAAAAAAAAAAGATATTCGACATCCACCCCTCAAATACCTCTTTATTTGCACTTTCCTCCCCCACTCAAAATTCACTGACACCTCCGATTCCTCCCACGTCGCTTCTTATAACCACCGCCGATCATCAAGGCTTCCGTCTCGCCATAAACATCCGCAATCGACCGGAACTTTGGTTTCCGCCTAGGCAAGACATCCTCCAGCAGCCCCTTCAACTCGCCGGAATATTCCCCCTTTTCGACGACGCCATTTATTATTTTCTTCATTTCGTCGTCGTCGTCGGAATTGCGACTCAATCGGATCAACTGCGTAACCGCGATTATTTCCGAAACGGTGAGGCTCGAATAATCCATATCTAATTGATGGGATGGGATAATTTAGCAAGATTTTTTTTTTCTTTGGAATTATTAATAATTAGGGATTGATTGATAAAATAATTATAATTATATGGAAACGGTTGATATATATATGAGAAAATGGAGTGAGGGGAGTATGTGTATATGAGGACAACTAAAGTTGCGCATGGAAGTTATGACTTTTGTCTGTGGGAGGTTTGATTCAGTGTGGTGAGGTTGCAGGTGTTCCTTCTTTTTTTTATTTTTTTTTTTATTTTTTTTTATTTAGCATCTTTGGACCAAAGTTGAATAAATGGCATTTTATATTTTTATATTATGTCAATTCATATATATTAAAAAAAAAAAGATTTCGTATAATATTTAATTACATAATACATAAAGACTAAAGTAGTATAAATAGCTAGATTTACAATTATTAAGATAAAATAAAATAATATTATAGTTGTTATTGACTTTTTTGAGATCCATGAAATATTTTGAAATGAAAAGATACATATGTAATAGTACAATTCTTTAAGAATTTATTATGACTCATAAATAAAAATATTTATGTAACACCAAAAGGTGCAAATACTATAGGGATAATTGGTTTCGTGCCTGCATTGAGTTTTTGGTATATAATCTTTGGAGACTGTCCACACTTTTCAGACCTACAGTAGAACGTCGATAAATTAATATTTATTAAATTATTAATTTTCGCTTAAATCTTGCTTAAATAATGTTCTTTTATATCATTGCATTGTTCAAAACTAATCTGATGCGTTTTAATTTTCTCTGCCCGCGTGACATATCTCCGTTAATAGTTAACTTCGTTAGTTGAACATAATAAATTTTTAATTTCGCCGTTAAATAGAAACACATAACTACTTAAATTGGACGGCATTGATCAATAGGAGGGCTTTCTTCCAAATTATGTAAGCTTAATTTCATGAAATTGAGTTAAATATTGATTATCACCAATTATGCAATGCATGCATGCATGCATGCATTGTTAATAATATCTGCTATATGTAACGTATAAATCCATGTCT